CCCCGATCATCGCAAGGTTTAATTAGCGGTAGTTTAAAAAAAAACACCTGGACGAATTACGGTAATCGACTGCATGTATTTTCGTTTGCACATGAGCAGTTGTAATCGTACGAATTTTGACGTACGGAAACGCCACCAACCTTGCGAAAATCGTACGAAGTTTTTCTAACCTGCTGGAAAGTCAAAAGTCGATCAATTGTACAGTATTTGCAGTTGTACACTGCCCATCAACCTTACGAATATCGGACGCAAACGCGATTGCAAACGACAATCGGCTGATAATCATAAGGTGTATGGGCAGCTTAACAATGTCAAGATCCCAAAGACTCCTCTTGAGCATCTGAAGTCTTCTCTACACTGTAGACTTTACAGGGGATTAGAGTTGTTGTCCAATGCAACCACTCTAAACCTTAATGATACAATACTGTAATATCTTCACATGTTCTATGTTTAATTTGCCTCAACAACCTAATGGGGCCCCTTCCACCCCCAGGCCCCATAGCAGCCACCTGGGCTGCTATGGCTATGATTACACCATTGCTGGTATGTATGCATGTGAGATAGGGGCCTTAGATTGTAAGCTCCATGAGGACGGGGACTGATGTGAATGAATAGTATATAAAGCACTGCGTAAATTATCGGCTCTATATAAATGCCTATAATAAATGCCTATAATAAATAAAAAGTCTTGGCCCCATTCATTTTATATTGGCTAGTGGTTTTTACTACATGCACAGCAAAGCCAAAATGTTTTTGGCTCTATCAAAGGCTGACAGCTGATATGGAATATTATCTTTATCATATCAGAGTATCCAAAAGAAAAATGGCGCCCAAATGGGTATTTAGACAATTTCATATATGAACTGAAGACCTTCCTAGAAGCCCTGTAGGTGTCCAGGTGTCATTGATTGAACTCTGATTGGGTTCTGCTTTATTTTGGGTGTGATTTGGTCATACTTTCTCCATCCATAACCATTTATTACCAGAGATTTATATCCATAATCTAGGAGAATGTATCACCATTTCATATCTCTGCCTCTTCATTTGGTTGTATGTTTCGGGGGTAGGATGCATGAACCTCCATCAGAGTACAGTTACATTTTTCTGCATGTTTCTTTTTTTTTTCCTGTCCTGACGGATTGCATAAATTAGCACATTTCCCACAAGGGCACTCGGAAGGAAACTCACACTGCATTGTGCGGCCTCTTTGGCATTGGATTTTGTTGCCACAGAAACCATTGTGATGTCACGGATGGAAGACGGCGCATATCGCTGAAAGTGGAGGAATGATGGGTTAACCCCCAAGCGGCAGACGCTTAACTCTTTCAGTATTCTTACACTGATGGATATCTTAGCAATGATTTTAGAAGATTACATTGATGGTTCATTTTTTTTTCTTCGTATTAAAGGAAGCTTGTCATAAAGGAATATGTCGGCTGTCACTGCTGACCTCTCCTGAGAATGCGGATTGCCTGGCTGTTGGCCTAATACAATGGCTTTAACACTTCCTAACTGGCTGACCTGGAACAAAGGCAAGGTGGGGGGACACCCGGTGCGGGTACTGGGTGACACACCGCAGTGACGTCATCATGCTGTATCGCTGTTATTTTGGTTGATGGACGCCGGCAGAGAGAGGAGGGGACATCACCGGCGGAATAAGGTTTGCCGCCGGGTCCCCTGCTCTCTCGAGCAACTGTCGGGCTCTCGTTCCTTGCCCGGGTGCCCGCCTTTTTAGAGGGGGTGACACCAAAATGACTGCCAGTCATTTTGGTGTCACCCCTCGAATGGTACAAAATCCAAGTGCCATCCGCACTCCTACGGTATTATAATTCAAAAGGCATCTGTGGTGCTCAGGGTGACTGCATGGATATCATCACTATGTCGCTCTGAAGAAGGATCCCTGCGTGGACCCGAAATGTCAGCACCTTATGACGCTATGTGACATCTTGCACTTTATTTAATAAATCTGGATTTTGATGTTCGATTCCCTGAGTGTGTGCCGGTGAAACGTTTGAATTTACTCCTCTAATGGTGTCACCAAGCTGCGGGCCGCACCCCCCTTGTGACGCCACTGACCTGGAACAAGTATAGAGAAAAGGAATTCTGATTTTCAGCTATACTCCAGCCAGATAGTTAGATTTTTATTTTTGCTCATCCAGTTCAGAGATTTGCGCAGCTCTACATGCTGTCCAAAATCCTCACCGCTCCAATTCTGCGGTCAGTACCTGCTGTGTTGAGCCCGGAGGTACAGGCTGAAACAGTGTGTGCTCACCATAAACGTATGAAGTCCAAAGAAAAATGTAATCCAAACTCTTGTATACATCACAAACAAGCTACCCAGATCCAGCAAATCCTCTCACGCGTTTCACTAATGTGGCTTACTCGGGGTAAACCCTACCACGCGTTTCACCAGTGTGGCTTACTCATAGAGGTGTTTGCCAGCGCGCAAAAGCGACAATTGCGGTACACATGTTACATATCGCCTCGAACGTCGGAGTGAGAGCAATAATTTTAGGGCCATCAATCACTGATAACACAAAACTGATGAGCAGTAAAAGCTTGTAAAGCGTCGCCTATGGCCAATTTTGGGTATTGTCGTTTTTTTGAAGTTTCACGGGCGCGCGCAATTTTAAGGCTTGGCGTGTTTGGTGTCTATTTACCTGACGTGACCCCGTCTTTTATATTTTTCCAAAAAATTGGGTATTAAATGTTTCATAATTTAATATAGGGGAAACCCCAGTGGTGATTAATAAGGATGGGCTCGGGCGTGTTCGCAGCTCCAAGCCCACCAGGAAGCTGACAGCGCGCAGCGCCAATCACAGGCACTGAGACATTTCCCAATCTCTGCAGCTATGATTGGCGCTGTCAGCTTCCTGGCGGGCTCGGCACGTGGAGCTGCGAACACGCCCGAGCCCATCCTTAGTGATTAAATACCGCCAAAAAAAAGCTCTATCTGTCCCCAAAAAATGGTATAAAATTAATTTCAGTACAGCGTTGTATGACGGAATAAATGTCAGTCAAAGTACCGCAGCGCTGAATACTGAAAAATGGCCTGGACAGGAAGGGAGTGTAACACCTGGTCAGCAAATGGTTAATATCACATTGTCCTGCGTGGGAATCCTGTGTTTAATGGCCCATGCATTATCATGAATATTATAAAGATTTTGAAGGTATTTATAATAGAAGCGTCTCCCATCCAGCGCACCTGTCCCTTTTTACCTTTTAAATGTTGCCTTTTCCACCATACAGAAAGGTCTCTCTCTGAAGAACTGAGAAGCCTGAGCTGAATGTTAAGCATTCTCAATAAAGATGGCTTCCGGGAACACAAAATGACATTTTCAGTAATTTTATCAATGGCGCCTATTCACCAGCAAAACGATTCCGCTGATCCATTCTGAAAGCGTTGGGAGGTATTGAATGGCGTGCAAAAACATATTCGGCTTCTTAATTACCGCGGAGAGCCGGAATGAATGAAATTCTAATTTGCTGCGGTCCCAGATACCCAGCACCCCCCATGACAGAGAAACAAGTCATTTTATTGCTTTACCGGCTCAGCTGTGGTTTGAGTGCCGCACGTAGTTTACCAGTAAGCCGGAACCTTCTGTATTGTGCAGTTAGAACATTGTTATCTTATTACTAGAATTATTACCCCAAAAAAACTCTGAAGCTATATAATGCTGATGATTAATCCAAGGGTAGGGAAAATGTAACATAATGCAGCTTACCAGTCCTTAGATGTGGTGGCTGCATTAGTTTTCTTTCTGAGGTTAAGTACATTTTCTGCATGTACAGAATACATGTTCATTCTGCCAGAAATCCAGTGTGTTCTTGTAAGTTCCTATGCACTGATTTGAAATCACAAACAATGTTATCAGCTTTTCAAGCTCCCTTCTGGGAACTACACAACCCTTTCTACCTATTTATTGTAGATGAGGGGAGCAGGAGGTGTTTGTAGTCCACAGCAGGAGAGCAGCCTCACTTTAGGGCAGGAAGTGTGTTACTGGCAGGATCACCAGGCAACAAAGGAAAAAAGCCTTACAGGTTAAGTTTACCTGTAACATTAGGGGCCGGTTCACACAATATACAGTGCGTTCCAGAGCGGTCAGCCTCTGGAATGCACTGCATTGCATTCTGGCTGGTTTTCTGCATTCAGGGGTGGGAGGGGTGTGGCAGTGTGTTGAAGGCAATGGCACCGCAGCTAAGCCCCCCCTGCCCACAGTGCAATCATCCGCACCAGAACGCATAGCACATCAGTGCCTGCATTCTGGTCCAGTGTGATCTGCAAAAATAATGGTGTGCCACGCAATCTGGTGCGGGCGATCACACTGGGGGGTGCGGGAGGGTGTGGCTGCGGTGCCATTAACTTTGACGCAAGGTCCCGCCCCCCTCCCGCACCAGAACACAGGAAGCCGGCCGGAATGCGATACAGTGCATTCCAGAGGCTGACCGCTCTGGAACGCACTGTTTATGGTGTGAACCGACCCTAAACATGGTGAGATCGGTGAGAGATTTCAACAGCTCCTAGTTCAATGCTTGTTAATTATATTTGTATTATTGCTTGTTTACTCTATTAAAATTTAGTCCACCCAAAAGTAAAATGTATTATAGTTGGAGCCTTGTGGGTCAGCTCCTGGCTTCTTGTACATCTTGGATATTGGAACAGGTATATCTCCCTGCCAGATTCCTGACTTGGTTCCCATCCACTTTGGAGCTTTGGGTGTCCTGGCTCACCTTTCTGTGTTCCAGCTCTTCCCTTTACATTATTCATAATATAAACTGAAAACATTCAGCACAGAGAATGGGAGCCCCTTAAAATGATCACAGTGGGTGTGCAGATTTTGGAACTCAAGATCAAAGACCAACAGTATCCTTGAGAGAGAAAATAAATTGTCGGCTGATTTTTTTACCAAACACTGAACTATAACTTTTGGGTGGACTGACCCTTTAAAAGGTATGTGTCAGTTAGATATATTGGTAATCTGATATTTTGTATTGTGCAGGATTTCTCCTATGATGACTCAAAGGCAGAATTTAATATTGATGCCCCAAATGGGGTGGTGATGGAGGGTTACCTTTTCAAAAGGGCGAGCAATGCATTCAAAACATGGAACCGGTGAGTAGAGAGTGCAGTTACATTTTTTGTAACCATTTTTGCCCAATCACATTGAGGATCCAGGCAGCACCCTGCTTCTCTGTCTGAGTTGTTCTTTGGGTAGTGATGTAAGTATAGCCAAAGGAATGATTTTGCTATTGACTGATCTCTTAAATTGGTAGTTGCCTGGATTTCATACCCACCCGATGGCTTCAGTACTTTTTGTATCACTGTGCTGCACCAAGACTACACATCAGGAAGTCAGACTTTGCTCTGACTTTACTTTCTGCTTATTCTGGATCAGTGATTTAAAAAATGTAGATTTCCAGGTAACTGGCATTTTCAGAAGTAGGTCAACAACGGCATCTACACTTGTACTTTAACATCCATTCAGTGAACCAAGAGGCTGTATAATGCCCATCTTTGTGCTTCGTAAAAGGCTATAGCACACATACTGTCCTACATAGCCTTCTATGTGAGATAGAATTTGATGCAGCAACTACTTTACCCTAGAGCAGTGCTTCTGAACCTTTCTAGGGCAGGGACCCCTTGGTCACATTTGCCAAGTTGTGGTGACCCCCAATGGTAAATTTTAGGGATGCACCAATATACTAGTATACTGTATCCGCTGGTTCTCTGGTGGGCTGTGTGGGATCCCTGGTGGCCAGTGCCATGTAGTGTGCTGTATTTACACACAAAGCTATAGTGGACATTCTTCTACAAAAGAGCACCTTCCCTCACTCCTGCCACATCCCGACACAAAGCATAGCATGATGTGTTAAGCCCGCCCACTCTCCTCACTCTGATCTTCCCTGGCCGCTGCAGTGCCATCTAGTGGCGAGGCCAGAGAACTGACATTGCTGCGCTAGGAGGCAGCTGAAGAGCCTCTCACCTAGCGCAGCACAACATATGTGGCGACCCTCAACTGTGGTTTGTGACCCACTTTTGGGTCGCCACCCACAGGTTGAGAACCACTGCATGTTCTCCTTTGTGTCTGAGTTTCATATTATTAACTCCATTCTGGCCAGCAGTAGAAATG